TGCTCCAATGCAATATTCAATCGAATAGCAAGCACTTGAACTGCAGCACCTACAAGTCCAGGGTTGGAGTGGCACTGCCTCTGAGAGCTCTGTTTTAGCATGTGCTGAAGGCGGCTTCTGACATTGTCGATGGAATTCACCTCTAGTTGATACAGAGTTGGGTCCAATCTGCTGAGCAAGATAGAAAGAAGCTGTACCAGCAGCTCTCCATGACGCTGATCCGTGATCAAGAATACTTTATTCAGAAGCTGCTGTGCTAAAGCAAAAGCATGCACTGTGTTCAGGGGTTGAGAAACTAGGTGGTTGTCAGGAGACACGGTAGCAGCACCTCAAAGACATTCCATTTTCCCTCACTATTGTTACGGGCTAGCGATTCGCCGGTCTGGATAAGCACTTGCAAGACCAAGCTGGGAGCCCATTCCTCCTGCCGGATGAACAGCGTGAAGCTCCTTATTTTCTGGCTAAAATGCTCAAAATCATCCTCTGACAGAGCGTCTACCCACATGTTGTACGTACAAAATAACTCTCTCATTGCACTACCGCTGAATTGTTCAAGGGATTCTAAGATGCTTCTGATCAACATGACACCTTGGTTCTGCCGAATGTGATCCAGTATTCGTGATTGTGATGGAAACAAGCCCTCTTCTCCATTCCACACTGCCATGCATTTGTTGATGTATGCGGCCATACCTTCAACGGTCAGATCTCTATGCTCCATTGCTTTTTCAAGCCTGTGAAAGTGTTTCTCGCTGTTGGCGTCAGCAATCCTCCCTCGCAGATATGTGTGGCTGTAAGAACCACAACAGCTCAACATGTGGATGTCGTACCAGAACGATATTGTTTTCCTCCTTACATCCACGTTCAGGAAACATTATAAGACGCCAGTACACGTTCCCAGAAGGAGCATCCCAAAGGAACCCAGGCTACCCACGAAGGCGCCATTCTTGTGCATTTGGTTTAGCGTTGCCCTTCTCTGGCAGGAGGGAACCAAAATAGCGCGGCACTGCTACAAAAACCCAGTGGGGTGGGTTTTAGGGCCTATGTATGTATCTGCATAAGGCATCCATATGGCACGCGTTGGAAGCTGTAAGATGCAAGGGTGGGACCGTACCGCCCTAGAATCGGGTAGAGTTGCCAATCAGACGTCTCTTTTTACGTGGTAGATGAGCGTCTGGCACGTTGGGGAACCGTCTTGCGGGCAGGAGGCCCAGCATATTTTTTTCGTTCGCTTTCGAGCTTTTTAAGAAGGGTACGTACCTACCATCGTCCCTAAGATCTCCCTCCAATGATTGGGGCCATTTCTTTGCTGCCCCCCTGCCACCTATTGCCTCTACCCATCTACCAGACAACCATTCATAACCGTCGACCCAGAAGGGATCGTCTCCCTCCTCTGCTCTAACTCGATCATATATACCATGAATGACGGTGCCAGCAGCAGGGTTTACGCACCTCATCTTTATGTATCGAATGGTATTACCGGTTGTGTATCTTGGAGCTTCAGAATGCTCCAAATCAACATGTGCATACCTCTTTGTATTGGGTTTGGGACCGGGGCCCCAGTACGATCCTCCGGACCACTGGAATCGTCCGTAGTTGCCAACGGAGGGTTCGTACGGCTCCTCATTGACATCATCATACAACCAAGAAGGATAGGCATTGGGCTGTTCCCAAGGAAACACGATACCGGCCGGGAGCTCTAACCATGCGCGATCCTCAACAGGCGTGCTCCTCTAGTACGGGTTCTCTTTGCAGGAGCAATGGACATTCGAACCCCGGGGATAGTCTGATCGATCATTCTCTGGACCATAGCAGAGCGTCAGTTCGTCTTTAGCTTTCAACGGGGCCCGCGTCCATATTTCCAAACGCTTACGGGGGAAGTTGCGTACCCAGAAACAGTTTGGGTGTCCCTTTGCTTTGTTCTGTTTCCCACTGGGTTCGTTGATGTATGGTGTAAGGTGATGAGCATATTGTGAAGCTACGTGCAGTCCAGTGTCATCAGAAGGATCAATGACCGAATCGTCAAGCACGGTGCCGTCCTCTGGGTGGTAGTAGAAGAAGTCCATCGCATACTTGTGAGAGGCTTTCGTCCCACTTCTTTTGATCTTCCTGTTCTTTGTCAACGCATCCTTCCAATGATCAGCCGTGTATATCTTCCCCGGATAGGTGCCAACATAAGTACCCGCTGGGACCTCACCTTTGAGGGTTGCCTTCACACGTACTCCTACGCCCTTGCCTTCCCTTGAAGCATCATACTGTTCAAAGCAGTCAAGGTTGTCAAGAGCGTCCGTGCTGCTCGGGGCAATTGCTCCCGCTTCATGGTGTGGCAGGTCATCCCACATGTATATCATTGTTCATGATGCCTTACAAGAGAATCTTTCTAGTTGTATAGGCATTCGAAACCAGTGCTTTTCTGCATCCATAGCATGCGACGCTGAGTTTAAATGGAGTCATTAGTCGTTGCAAAGGGTGCACCGAATCGGCCCTCAACCTTGAAGGCTGTCTTTGGCCGTACAAATGGGGCATGTACCACATGGGCTACTTTTTCAATAGCCTTTCTGACCTTTTTCTTTGGTTTCGGCGGGTCATCATCTTTGATGTCTTCATTTTCAGCTTCAATGTCCTTGAAACCTTCATATGTTTGTGGTATGTATATCCCTCGAGGTACGTACCGCATCGTACATGGGTCCGTCATGAGAGTTGCCATAACCGTGAATGCTATCAATGTGACTGCAAGCAGGGTCATTGCATCCATGCCGTCTTTCAATCTATCTAGATAAATGTTGGCTTTTGCCCGGTAGGTCAAGAAAGATTAGGGTCTTTGTGAGCTAATGCGAAAGTCATCCTTACCCTGTCGTTGAAGCAGATTCAGGTTCAGGCACAGCAGAGACTAAGAAGTTCTTTGTGCCCGCAAACTTTTGAGGCAGTGCAAGACTACCTAAGCACCTACGGAATGCGTTGTAGGGAATACTCTTTTTTGTTTTGTACTCAGGAGAGTCAAGATGCGGGGGGTTCCTACCAGCAAAGAGGTCACGACATACGTGCTTGTAGACAACAGAAACAGGAATTCTAGTGACTCCTCTCCGTTCGACTTTCGAGTTAGCCTGTCGAGCGCCTCTACACCCTTTCAATTGATCTCTTCCATACGGCTTGTCCAGATGCAGATTGCGAAAATGCATGGCGAAGACTACTCAATCGTCAGCGTAGAACCCATAGACGGTCGCGTGCAATGTGCTGGCAATGGCGGGACTGATGCATTTGCTGTTGCCATGTATAGCAATACGGACTATCTCTCATTGAACGTGCTGTGTGGAGACAATATAACGGGCGAGACGACGTTCGACCCGCCTCTTGCACGTCTAGACAACCTGCGCATCCGTCTCAAAAAGTATGATGGTAGTCTAATAACGCAAGATGATGTCACAAACTCTGATGGGACCTTCAACGACAGAGTTATGATGACCTTTTCTATTGTGCACAAGAATTTGAACGTCCCCTGATATAAAGTTGAATGTTGTTGATGCCGCTGAGGCCGCAATTGTGCCAGCCATGTGCAGAGCTGCTTGCTGTGGAGCATTTACAACACAATTGTCCTTGCGGCCGACTCTTTTGCCTCTCTCTAGTCGTCGAGCAGCCTGCTTAGACGTTGGAGACTGGGCTTTGGAGGAAGGGCTTTAAACTTCATGCTGAATCCATTATCAATTTCGTCAGGAGGATCGATTACCGCTATAGCTGCTGCTTCCAAGCTGTCAATATTCTTTTGGGAATCAGCAGCGGTGCGCTTTGCTGCTCTGGTGGCTCTTGGTGAGGGAGTCATGACCCTCAGCATGTCCTGCAAAAGATGGCACTCGGGTCTTTTTTCTAGTCGCTTTTCTCTCCCAATGTCCACTTGCAACAAAGACATATAACCTCTAACACGCAACACGTAGTCAATCTTACGCCCCCGTTCAAGTAGTAAAGTCATGAGTCGACGAGCAGCACATACTGTACGTCATCTTGCTTCACTTTGAAGCAGGCCGAGGCTGGCCTCTAAGTATGTTTAAAACCGATAAAAATAAAGGTTAAAACATGTTTTGTCGTTGTTTTAAACATGTTACTTTTATTTATTAAAAACATTATTTTGGAGGCCGCTAGTACGGTCCCCCTTGTCCTTGCTTTTCAAAGTTTTAAACATGTTTAACACCGTTAGTCAAAGGGTCCCTAAGCCAAACAATGCCTACAATAGGTCGGATGGGTCCTACTCTTTATAAGGCAATCGACTATGAGAATCAAACATCAAATTTGATGCCGATATCCAAGTTGAACGTTGTTTTACAAAATATAATATGAGCTTTTTTGCAGTCGAGTTGCCACCCCGGGGCGGCGAGCAAAGGCGCCCAACGCAGTGCAAAATGCTTATCGGGCTCCGAGCATGTAGGTGCGTGCATGGCAAGCCCTGGGGCTGTAGCCAGGCGTGACAATCAAACTGTCGTGCAATATCTAAGCCGACTCAATCAATCAGCGGACGGAACGTGTTGTGCACCATTTTTGAAACCCTTATCTAGCAGAAACGTTGATTGCACAGCTTCTACGGTGAGTTACTCATCTACATCATCGTAGACACTGATACCCAATAAAGGAGCTAGTTGTACAAGCCAAATCACGTTGACTGAGCTTGGCTCTAGAGGGTTGTCGATTGCTGATCGATTATGCACCTTCACCAAGTTGCGGTTTGGCGTAACTTAGCGTGTCTAACGGCTCATCTTACGAGTACGGGTCTCGTCACAAACGCTCGAGTTCAGGTGGACAGCCGAGAGTAGGTGCTAGTCTCGCTTGAATGTAAGGTTTCCAACCTAAGTTTTCAAAGAAGAAAAAACAGCACACAATTTTGGTGCAGTAAACAACGTGAGAATGCAGCTTGTGTATTGTCATTAGCAAGGAACTTGCTGTGAAAAAAAACGGCTATATTGCAACTTACAAAGGCTACGACATATGCAAGTGGCTGAAGTGTAGATGCAAAGAAGCCACAATATACAATTTTTGAAAAGTGCGACACCAGGTGCCACGTTAAATATAAAACGTGAGTAACACTTGCTAATTATTGGTGAACAGAAACGGTAAGAGCTACTTCGTACCGACTACCAGCAAGTAAATACATCTTCTCAACGATTCCAGAATCAGGAAATAATGATCGCGACTCTAGTCTTTGATTAACCAGGTCCCCCATGCAAGTCGTACATCCTTGGATGGAAGATACGCTATCTGTCTTCGTTTGGCCCAATTGTCCTACTTATGCCTCTATCCTGGCAAACGTACTTGACCAACAGCAGCTGTAGGTGCTTCTTTTGGAGGGGCTTTGGCTGCAGGGTAGCAATACCAAACACAATAAGTACGAATCACACCTTGCCAAGGTCCACCTCCAAGCCTTGTTTCAAGCAACTAAGCAAGGGTAGCCTCTCAATCAAAGTGGTAACAATCGCTACCCGCCTGAACCTAAGATATTCCCAATACAAAGCAAGCCTAAGCAAGTGTAGGCAAGCCTAAGCAAGCGTGGTAATAGACGCCCCTGCCCCGACGGAACTCGAACCCCCATCGCTGGAAAGACATACATGCCCCCAGTCGAACCTGAAAAACCCTCACCCGAAACCGGCGGCAGCGCGCTTGGAAGAGCAGCACCCTCGTCAAACGACAAGGGAAGGGCCACCACTAATGTCATTCCCCCGCCCCGACATAAGAAAGCTTAGCTCCACTCACCAGAAAGTCGTCCATCCCTGCGGCCATGCATTGCTCCCGGCAGCCCTTCATGACGTCTGCCGTCAGGGCAATGATTGGCACCCGGCACAGCCCGCAGGCTGTCTCCTCGAAGAGCTGGCCAGCGGACACGCCGTTGAGAACGTGGTGAAGGGTTCTGTTGGCGCGCTCGTGGGGACAGCGGCTCAGCTCATCGAGCCTGATGCGGATGGTTGCTTCGTAGCCTGCACATGTGCAGGTTCTGTGCTTTCAGTCTGGTGTGTTACGGTCTTAAACTTCGCTGTAAGCACGCAAAACGTCCAAACGATCATCGAACCTCACGGAAATCAATGCTACAAGCCCGCAGAAGGTAATCATATGCGGATTTGAAACAGCCATGGATAGCCTGGAACGTAATCGTGGCCACATGAAAAGCACAGGATTCCGCTTTGTATCCCAGCGCGGTATGCTGCTCCTCAGCTTGCATTGATTTGCAGACGGAAATCGAACCAGCTGCATACGGTATTGTCTTGAAGGCTGAGTGGGCAAGGCCACTTTGAAAGGCATCTTCTTTGATGTGGTAAGGCGCCACATGCTAGCCGACTTTTCAGTGCTTTCGTCAATCAATCAGGACTTCAAAACGCAGAGTACCACTGCCTTCAGCTACGCCTTCCTGCGCTACATATTCACTAGCAGCCGAGCTACTGAACCTTTGATTTTGAAAAACGAGGCTCGATCTTTCGAAATCGTTTGCGACACTTGACTGTCACAAACACATCGACACGGCGTTCTTCCATAATCCCGTCCCTTTATCTCTGAAGCATTCTTCCGTGAAGACAGCTGTTCAGTCGTACTCAAACGAAGTCCAAACACGTTAGCGTTGAGCAAAACAGGAGAAGCAGAAAACGGATGCCACAGCAGACCGAAAGAGAAAGGAGCGGACGAAGGCTCCATACCGTCCATGTCCGGCATCTGGACGTCCATGAATACAATGGCGATGCGATTGCCGTTGGTAAGCGCTTCCGCACGCATCAGCTCAACGCCTTGCTGGCCGCTTGACACTGCGGCGACGTCCAAGCCCATGTTCTCCAGCAGTCGGGTCACCACCTTTCGGTTGATGCAGCCATCGTCCACGACCTAAGGTGGAGAGGGCTTTTCAGACAAGGCCTGCGAAGCAACCTGTCAAATGACGCCCTAAATAGGCTGTGCATCGCCGTTTGGGTCTTTTAGGAATATGGTTCAAGGATAACCACCTAAAACGATAACCCCTTGGAAGTAGGTCTGTAATTCGTTCGACATAACATCGCCCGCAGCTCCATACGCGTCGAAGCATCCTCGTTAGAGTCACTAAGGGATTGCAAGAAGCTGAACTACCAGAAAGAGACACAAACAGATCAAACTATTCCAAAGAATCATGAAGTTGCGTTCTTCGTATGAGCCGGGGTCCTGAAAGGGCACCGTAGATTCAAATAATTCTGATGGACGGTTCACAGGACACCGAAAGATGGCAGCGCTACCAGCTGGCAGACTTGCCATGTTATTGCATTCCAAGAAGAGTTCTGGTCTTGGCGCTACTCTGCAAGTCTGATCGAGAAGGATTTCGGAGCAACGTCTGTTGTGGGCCGACCAATGTCAAAACTTCAATAGTTCGGCTGCCCATGCACTCTTGTTGACAAATAAAGAGAAATGGCCGACTTACTATTACCAAATCGAACCGCGCAGCGGGCCTTGATAGATGCTCTTATTTTGGAGTCAATTCTTGATGGTTAAATGAACCTAGATTCTGGGGATATCGGTGCACAAGCTTGAAAGAAAGGAGAGGAGAATCACGTAGGTTGGAGAGTGAGCCATTGTCAAGAACCAGTCAAAATGATGATCAGGGTGAGAAAGATGTAAAGAAGCAGTGGTTGCAGAGAGGCATCTCACCAGCGCCCGCGCCCTTTTAAGTCGCAACAGGTCCCCTGCCATCGCTTGCCCGGTGGGGTTCTCCTTCGGCATGGCCAGAGAAAGGGCCCTATTCACCGCGCTCAGAAGCACGCTCCGTCTGACAGGCCGCAGTAGCACGCTGTCCAAACCCGCCGACAGGGCCTCCGCTTTGACGTGTTTGTCTTGGTAGCTCAGAATGCCGACCATTGCACAGTCCTTGCCCCCCGGCTGCGACTGTATCCAGCCAACCAACTTGAACACCGCGAGCCTCTGAAGTGGGTCGTCTAAGGAGAGGAAGTAGACCCTCTTCTGTGGGCCAGACGGTGGCCAGTCCATGTGCAGGCGGGCTGAGACCATAGGGAGGGGGACGAAGTCGTCGACAGGGCAGCCCAGCCAGCGGAGGGAGCTGGCAAGAACCTCGTGGTGGACCGCGTCCCTGGAGGCAGTGTGAGGGTTACGGTAAGCCTTTGTTTTGGTTTGAATAAGCCAGGTTGGATAAGAACTGGGACATTAAAACCCTGGATACAAACCCACGAGCTCCGTTCTGTACCTGTACCCACCCTCATTCCCGAACTAACCCCACTCATCCTCCGCGTACTGACCTTTCAACCTGGCTGTTATTCAACCTGCAATCGATGATTTCCAGGTTACGGTCGGTAAGCTTACAGGGGACTCATCAGTTGATCGAGCTTAGGGTAGCAGGCAGGGTCGAATGATATCGAGTGAGGCCGTTTCATCCGGATCCTCCTCGAACGCAATGCTTAGGACCAAGGATCCGGGCAGTGTCACAGACCCGAATTGCTGGCTAGGTTCAGGGTCAGCTTCACGGCCACAGTCAGTTTCATGCGAAGTTCGAGGACGAAGGATTGATTCCTGATTCATCCTGTTAAGGTTCAACATACAAAAGTCAGGCTTTCCGAAATGACTACAGAACAACCGCGACTTCTGAGGTCAGCGTAAAAGAAGTCTTACTGCGGCTCTGAGAAACGAGTGTGCAAGTTTAAGGTCGGACTTATTGTCAGAATCCGAGCTTGCAAGGTCCTGAGCTGTGCAAGACGGGCCGTGTAAGGGTGATCTGCCGACCAATTAAACAACGTGACATTGAAGTACTGGGGTTGCCTTTAACGTTGTTGGGCCCCACTGCAAAGCGTATCGGAGAGTATGTCTTTAAAAGTGCGCAAAAACACCGGTGTGCTTTGAGGTCGAGACCAGTATAAATACAGAACAATAGTACTTCGTACAAGTGGTGAAGCCAGCTTCTGGAGAACATCCAAGGGGTGTCACTTGGCGCCAGTATGTACACTTGGGGACTTAGGAGCTTTCCAGATGATTCCATAATTGGTGTCCCTTGGACTTATCTACACGTGTAACTTCCCACCGCCAACCCCATTCCCTTTTCGTCCCTTCACAGACTGGAAACGAAGACCCAACACTTTCTTGAAACCCCAGATTCACACAAATAGATCAGATTTCAAACACTTGAGTACATGTCCGTATTGGTTCTGCTTGAACAAGGCGTTTACAGTCCTGACGAAAGCCTCACCTTTCCACAACCACCACGCGCAGCTCGTGGAGCTCTCGGGACACGTTTCTGGCCTTTCCAACTCCAACCATCACATCGAACTGGAATGTGCTCCCCACACCCTCCCGTGTCGCCACCGAAATCTCACCCCCCATAAGGCGTATCAGCTTCTGGCAGATCGACAGCCCGATCCCGGTCCCGCCATACTTTCTGCTCGTCGTTGCATCCGCTTGCAGGAACGGTGTGAACAGCCGCAGCTGTGCGCTTGGCGCGATTCCGATGCCGGTGTCGGAACAGGAGACAACCAGCCTCAGCTTGGTCCGATTGTGAAGCACACTCTGCTGGAAGTTGTGGTGACTCGCCCTCCTCATTCGCAGCACGTCTGTCGCCGAGGTGACCACCCCTGGCTGCATGCTTGGCGTCTCCAGCTGATCGAAGTTCACCCACCGGACGAGCGGCCTGCCCGAAGGACTATTGGTAGTGCCGGCGTCGCTCTCCGCTGGACTCCACTCTTCTTCTTGCAACTCCGTGCAGCTCCCCACTTGCACGCACAGCAAAATCCCCCCGGCCTTCGTGAATTTCATCGCGTTGGAGAGCAGATTATTCAGCACCTGTTTGAACCGGTTTGGGTCCCCAACCAGTTGCTCTGGGACCGAGTCCTGCACGAGCGCGTTGAGCCCCAGACCCTGTTGCCGCGCCTGTTCCGCGAAGGAGTGAAGCAGCTCGCTGACTTCGGATCGTACTTCGAACTCGACCGAGTCCTCGATATCCATGTGGCCCGCTTCAATCTGCAGAACCAAATAAAAAAGGAATGTACAGTCTAGCCTACCGGGCTGATCAGCTGCAGACCTGGAACCAGGACGCCGACAAACAAAAGCGAATCCTCGCCCTTCCACAACGGATGGTCGTGGCATTCGAGTATCGAACCCACAACCGTTCGGGACACCATTTCCAGTGTGCTAGCAGTAAGCACTACGCTCTAAACAGCTGAGCTACCCCGAGGCGGGACTTTGATCTGCAGAACCAAGCGACTGGCATCATACAAACTTCTGGTGTGCTCTTCGAAGAAAGGAAGGTTGTCAGATCAGAGCCCTTTTAGCCTTGCTACCTCCGAAACGGTATGACTCTGAACCACACCGGACTTGCCAGAGTCCCCCACTGACATTCGCCCTGCCTCATGTGCCGGGGGACAATGACGACCTCTGACATCACAGCTGAAGATCACTGCTTCGTCTTGACTCTTAGAATAGTTACTCAGAACATACGAACAGCAGCTGCACCGAGAAATCTGTATCAAGGACGGACAAGCAACAACACAAGGCCCAACCAATATTCAAAGTAGCGAGGTCCAGAAAACGTCTTTGTAACGTGAGCAGAACGAATCGATCGAGGAATTTGTTCTTCTTGTGAAAGACCACCGACTGAAAACCATGAAGGACTTTTCCCAGCAAGTCAATGTGTTGCAATTCATGTACCTTTTCAATTAGCAAACCAGGACCAACCTAGATGAAACCTGCCAGTTGCAATCCGACATGAGCCAGAAAAGGGGTGCAACTCCCGAAAAGAAGTATCATCTGCATTTTACCTGCAATGAACAGTCGCATCCCATGCCGGGTCCGCGCTTGTTGCCAAGTGGGACCCGCTCGAGAATTCAAAACGTCCGGTTGAGGACCAGATTTTAGTACACCGCTTTAACAAAAGCAACCAACGTCATTACAGAAGAAGGAGCAGCAGCTGACAATCCCACATAGAGGTATCTACCTCACACGTCAACGTCACGTACCTTCGACATGTCCAGAATGTTCGATATGAGCGACAGAAGCGTTGCGCCTGACACCAGTGCGGTCTGCACGTAATCCTGCTGTACTGCGCTCAGGGGGGTGTCCATCAGAAGCGTGTTCATTCCTATGATGCCGTTGCAGGGCGTGCGAATCTCGTGCGACATGGTCGCAAGGAAGGTGCTCTTGGACCGGTCCGCCGATTCAGCCGCAATCGTTGCCAGTACGAGTTGCTGCATTGCAGGAAAAGTGCAGTTGTGTTGACTCCCTGATTGAAACCCCATGTTCCGAAAACGGTGAGGCATTGTGTTCGTGACTCTGTTGATTTACCGGGTTGGCCGCGATGACCGAAAACAGAAAGAATACACTTAACAACTCGGTTGAGCGACTAACCGGGGTGATAACCCCTGCAATTCGCAAGCGACAAGACCCTCGACCCTTAGACATTGAAACCCGTGACTTCTTAACGGGAGGACATACTCGTCAAACTTATCCAGCAGCAGCGCTTTTGCTAGTGTCCCGCATAGCCAGTCGAGGGTGCACGTATTTGGCATTTGTTAGTTAGGTTCCACGAAACATTTGCGGCAGGGAAAGATGCTCCATGACAGATCCAAGGCTCCGGTTGCTATGTTGGCGGAAAACCAGCTCCTGTAGCTTCGAGAACAGACGCTCGCAACCTGCGTCGTTCGATACCTCACCAAGGAATCAGTGCAAAGTTCATAAAACATGCCAGTGAGAGTAGGACCGCATGGTCGCTGACAAGGCGCTCTCTGAACCATCTACTGCCTTGGCCGCAATGTGGGCCAGGACGAGGTCCTGCGCAACCCCAATCACACCGTTTGAGAGCGGGACATGACATGCAGAATTGCGAGTTTGCATGTTTCGACCGGAGGTCCTTGATTTGATGTTCCTTGTTTCGGGCTGGAATCCAATTCGGAGTAGATTGCTAGAGCGCGCCCCTATAGTAGGCCTTTGCAATTATTCGCCGAGATGGCGTAGATACTTTCTGCTTCTCCTATTGGACCTCCCTGCAGCCAGCTTTCGACGACCGGTTCCTTCTAAACGGTTCCCCTTTGAATTTCGCTCTTTCCATTTTAAAGAAAGATGAAATCTCAAAATTTGTTCAGATGGCGTCTAGAGTCCGTCCTGCTAGCGGCCCCACTTTAGTATTGCAATCCAACTCTGAAGTTGAGAAATCTGCCTACCTGGTTAAGCTTCTTAACCCGAGCCACCTCAGCCTCAACCACCCGGATCGCTTGGAACACGAACATAAGGATAATGTTGCCTGACGCCACTGCCCCCAGAACGACGCACGTCCAGCCCAATGATGACTTGACGGAGTTCCAGGAACGAGCGGAGAGGTCCATGCACCTGGGTACGAAAAGACAGGGAGAGGCTCAGAAACGGAGGCTTTCATACCTTCCTCTTAGGTTGAGTACGTTCACGGTTGAAAGGGAAGCTGCTACCAAAGAAGAAGCTTGATGAGGGCCACTGGGCGCCCCAGTGCCTGGACTGGATAAGCCCAGTGCGTGCTCGCTGCAAGTTCAGGGGACGCGCCAAGGGAGAAAGCGTGAAGCGAGCAGGAAATACGAAGAATGGGAAAGCAAAGCGAGACCATACGTGCTAGCTACAAGCACCTGAACTCGCAGAACAAAAGCGGAGAAGAATTCTAAAGTAAAGGACACACAATGCGTCTGAGGAGGTGAATTAGTTTGGCGTAGAAAGGAAGCCGACTCCACAATAGAAGACTCTTCCAGCAAGAATAGTCGTCCAGCCCAGCGTGTGCTTTGCAAACAGGAGCGGGCGAAGAGTCAAGGAAAGCTTTAAAGTGAGTCAGCTTTCGGAGAGTCGGCTTTCAGACGTGAAGTCTGGTAATGGTTCTTGAACTGCTTGTGATAGCTTGGTCGGGGATCTGAAAAGCCAATTTTGCAGGAGCTCGGCGAAGATGAGGGTTCCCAGGATGGCAGTTACGCAGCCTAATGCGCTTGGCTCAAGAGCGAGAGACCTGCATGTTCGAGAATCTAGTGTGTGGGACGTCGGATTTGAAGTGTCTCGAAAGTCGAGAAGAGACATTCATGGAGGCCCTCTCCTTCCTGTGAGTGGGCGCGCCAGGCAGCTACGTGAGGGTGCCTGCAGCTATTTTGACTTGAGGGGCCTTGCCAGGTCCAGAATCTGGAAAGAAAACAGTGAGCCCCCACAAACCTTTGATGTGACATTGACGGGACAGATAAGGGACCAACTTCCAATCCCAACTACTGTAGCTCAAATTACACAGATGTTTGCAAAAGTTTGTATGTAAGTAATCTTGGGAAAGCGACTCTAGGGTATTGAAAACTCCAAAATGAACGTCCTCGGGACAAGAATTTGGTTGGTGAAAAAGGGGAGAACTGGTTCGCCCAAATCCCCTTAATGTCTTCGATGCATTTGCTCAGATCGTGCCGCGTGGTGCCTGGTCACAAGGGGTCAAGGTAGCATCAAGGGTTGAGACCCAGTTGATTGGTCGAAGAACACAAGAAAAAAGCCAGTTGCTTTCCGGTCTCCTGCACGTCACGGCCTTTTGAAAGACTATCTTCTTCACCTTCATCTTCGCTCATATCTTATATTTTCCCCCTGATCACGAGAGAACATTGGCGGACTCAATCACGGCTTTCTCTTCCAATTCGAAATGGTATCAGGGAGAGATACATCACTGTTGCAGTCGCTGCCCACCACCCCATTTGGAGACGCTTGTCACGTCTCCAAATAGGTTACTCTCTCTGAAAAACAATCCTCATCTTGAATCTCAAGATCGACACGCGGATCGAGCTCCAAGAAGGCTCCTTGCCAAGACGTAGCTGTATTGTTGGACGCAGTATTACCAGTTCAATGTTTCAGGTTCGGATATTGTGCTTCAGGAACTTGTAAGTACTTGAGGCCGCTCCTCCACAGCGTGTGCAGTAGAAAAAGGGCATCAAATTGGCGATGACTGTCGACTCTATATGACACAAGGTCTATATAGAATAAGCTCCATCTGACGGTAGAACACGATCCCGAAAATGTACGTGCTTCGCACTTGCACCCACCTTAACCCCACCCGGACATATCAGGGTGGAAAGCTTATCCTATATTGATTTGACCGCGAAAATTTGGCGGGGTTCAAAAAGGGGGCCCTACTTGCCTTATTTCGTAGTTGCGCCCGCCTTGCACATAGTCGACCACGCAACTCCATGGCACGTTGTCCTCGAAGCTGTCTTGGGCAGTGGCGTATAAAAGACTGCTGTTCGTTAACAGCCCTCCAGTGACGTCATAAACCCGCACCTGAGCAGAAGAGGCGGAAAGGTAAGATTTGCAGCAGATCTTGGGTACGAGTAGTTTGTTGCCTTCTGTTTCGTCCATAAGACAGGACTGATGTGAAGTCACATGAGTACGGAAGTGAAGCAAACGTACGTCTCGGTATCATGTGCCAACATGCTGATGCCTGACGAACGGGGCTAAGAAGACCGCACCGAATGAAAAGCGCGTCGTCAGTGACGAGATAGACCCGCACTCTCCCTGAAGAGGGTGCCAACGTTGGGGCTTGAGGGCCAACTTGTATATGTAAACGTATGCACCATAAGTGCAATCAAGCTTGTAATGGACTTTTCGCACTGTTGCTGGGACCTCTCGAAGACCGGGGATGAGAACTTCTCAGACGAAATTGCAACGTAATCGGCGTCACTCATTGGCGAAGCAAGTGAGTACGAAGTGGCGTACAAGGCAAAACTGCCCTTCGCGTGTAACGATCAGAAATAGACCCGTGGCGGACTATGGACTGGTTCGTCTCGAAATATGGTCTGGAAGGGCATTTATTGGACCAGAAAATTCTCGAAAATTTCTGTCGAAGTAGCCCGGTTCTGGCTCGCACAAGATTGCAATTCTAACCTGAGAGTTGCCACGGTCAGCTCACTTTGTTCCAGACGGTATTTTTACCTGGTAGCCCACCAGCCAGACAGAAGCCTCTCGGTGTATGACCACCAAGCGAGCGCCGCGTGCACATTGAGCTCAAATACTATTGCAACTATAGGAGTTTGGGTTTCTATGAACAAACCCTTCTATTGTTCGACAGGCTTAAAGAACGTGTGCATGTTCTCTTTTGAGACCCTAAATCAATCGGTTTTCCATTCTCTGCAGACCCACATCAGCTGCGAAAAGAGAGAAACACGACTCTGGTTGCAATAATGCTGGTTGCACCAAGAAGGTAGGACCCGGGGACGCTAAAACCCTTGGGACAAACCTACGCGCTCCGCACCCGTACCCACCCTAACCCCCAGGCTAACCCCACCCGTGCCCTGTCCCCTGGGCGCTGACCCTTAGTGCAGCCAGCCTGTAGTGCAGCCAGCCTGAATATGCAACCAAAGTCAAGTAATTTGGAGAAGAGAGGGTGCCACTCACCAAGATGTCCTGGTAGTCCACGAGTTTCGCGAATGCTTCCTGCTGCACGACCACTGGGGGCAGCGTTCCCACGATCACTCCCTGGGCCTTGGCCCACCGTTCCTCGGGGGTCGCCGCACTGCTGTTGAACCCCTTCACATACGATGGGAAGTACGTGGACGCCTTCTGGCCGCCTACAAACGCCGTTATCCGAAGATGAGTTGCCTGTTACGCAAACCTTACCTGATTCGTCCCAAGCGGGACACAGGTATGGAAGTTCGCGAACGGGTTAGGGTTGGTTAAAGGGTTAGGGTGGGTTCGGGTGTGGATCAAGATGCTTTGTTGCTTTCAGTATTTAGTGTCTGTTAACCTGCCGACTTTGAAACTTGCAAAGCCGCGAAGTTACTGCAGGCAAGTTCTGCCGAGGCTTTGCGTTCACGCCTTTTGCTTCGAGGGACTTGGTTACAGTGGGCGTGCCTGCATCATCTCTGCAAGGTATATGGTTCCAATAAGTGCCGTTGAACCATAACAATTCGCAGTCTGATGACTCTGGTCGACACGCAATCTCGATGCAAGCAACTGAAATGCAGAGATGGGTTTCCTTAACCTTCTTTGATTATCTATATTTGCATTAACGGCATTTAGGGCATTCCAGAGAGACCATGAGATGCAGGTTCGTCAAAGCCGCGAGCACGTTGACCCCTTGCGTCCTAGCACTCAAAGCTTCAGGTCTATCCGACAACGTCGAGACGCTCGCAATGGTGTCCTGTGCCCTTCGAACCTTACGCTCGGTATCCAATGTATGCTTGTCTGAATAACTATTCTTGTGAGTATGTTATCTTGTTCAGGACTGAACGTATGATCAGTCGCAGGATCAAGCAAGTGCAACCAGAGGGCAGCTCTAAATCCTCTTCTCGGTTTTGCAAAGCTCTCGAGGTTCAGGACTTAAAAGAGCCAACCACTGATGCGGATGCTGCTTCACACATGATCCTGCAGGTGCTTGAGCACTCCCAGTCTGACGAACAGCACGCATCATCTCATCAGTAATTGTAAGTCAAATCAGTTGGTCGGCTCTTGAATTTCAGTAAAGTATTCGTCCAAAAAGCCCTGAGACGGGTTTGCACAACGGATCGCGAAATCATTGAGAATTCGCTCACCTGCCATCGGCGTGTACGGTGGCCCAGCAACGTAGCGCCCAGACAGGATCGCCATTCGGATGGACTCCCCAAGAGAGGTGTTGAGAACGTCGTACCCCATGTAGATAGGCATCTGCTCCACATTTGAGAGCATCCTGTGGCAACAGGGCAGGAACAAACACCTCTTAAGTTTGAAACCAAACTTGTCACGAAAAGGGGACGGCTTAAGAGACGCCCAAGAGAGAACTCATCCAGAAGCAGTCCTCCAGGATTGATCGAGCACGTCATATCCCTTTAAAAAGTGTGCCTGCCCCAGGCCCCCTATCCGATGTAAGCGTGCTGACTGGGAGGAAAGATGGTTTGCAGTTGAACCAGAGTACAGTCGGGAGTTCACACCGTTCAAGATTATTCGCGTGTAAACATATGTGCAGACTTGGATTGGGCTTGTAATCAGGAGCACTTCCGATGACAGACGGTGGACAGATGACGCTCTCAAGATTGAAGATTGAAGCATCGACCCTGTTAAGACGAGTGAATTGAGGGGCGGTTGAACATCCATCGACAGTCTGTCTTTGCCAGCATCGTTTGCGGCATTGTACCAACAGGTGTCGGCCAGGCCCCGCCTGACGCCTGCAATTCATGCTTCGAAAGAGCCTCAGCTTGCTGAGAGCATTGGCAGCACATCAATCAGAAGGGCCCGCTTACGGAAGAAAGTTCAGCATGTCCAAGCGTGGAAGACCTGTGTTGCCATCTTGATGCAAGCAAAGACAGGCTTGTGGTGGGGTGCCATTGAAATGAGTGAGAGAATAAAAGCGCATATGCGCGCACTCATAGATCGAACAGTGGCGATTGAGAGGCCACATTAAGATCGGGGGAGAGGACACGGGTAAGGTTTCATCGGTCACCAATGCAGTGTGCTGGCACATTCAGCATGAACTAAGTTGGACGTCTCCGAATCTGACACATCGTTACAGTTGCAATTGTTTGATCTCAACTCGAGGACATAGTCTGCAGCTGACTGAAAAGTTGGAAACCTCCATTCAAGCAAATCTGCTTACACTTGTCCTTTGTCCTTTGGGTTTAGTGTTTCCTGTATCGAGGATTTTGACAAGCTTGAAAAGAAGAGAAGTTGTAGGCATTCTCAAGTCCAAAGCTCTGAAGTAGGGTGAGCACTTACAAAAAGGATTCAGCGCTCAGAGTCATGCAAGCTGGAGCTCGCCAGGGGCTGAGCCCCTGCAATAGAACAGCCCCTAAATCAGGAGCTACACCTTTGCTTTCAAGGACCTGCAAAGTTACAAGGCTCACGTCGTGACGACATACAACTCAGCTTCCAGCGCATCGTGCTTGATCTTCGTCTCGAAGTCGAAGGTGAAGATCTTTTGCCCAATCTCCTCTTCAAAGGCCAAGCGGTCTGGGCTCTTCACAACTTTCAGCCTGCTCGGAGTTGGTAAATGCTGTTAGATCAAGCTTTTTTGCACCCGCATATGGGGGCGGAGATCAGCTAGTCACTGGCCTGGTCCCCGGTCAAAAGCAGCCACTTGACTCACTACAAGAGCATGTACCGCCAGCTTAGACGGCTAAGGACACCCTAGACGTAGCTGGTGATAGGAGGTTGATCTGAAGTGAGCAAGCTGCTTGTCAGGTGTCAGTAAAGTGCACCTGTTAAGGGCTTGCTCAGAGTCGTGAATAAAAACAATCTGGACAAATAGGCAGGAAACAAAAGAGGTTACTGGCACGCATGTACGTCAGAAAGTATGTTGCAAGTGACTAAACTTGGATCCCTAGGTTACTGACATTTTCTTCAATGTGTCCAGCTGTTAACGAGTGCTGAGCGGTAGGAGATTGGACGGAAGTCTCAGCAAAAAAGGCCTGTGTGAATTCATAGTTACCCCTCCAATCGTATAAAAATATCTATCCACAGGAACAAGTATTCCATCCTTACTACGTAATAACGAATTACGGTCGCACTCAAGGTCCTTCCATGTACACCAACGAAAATGTATCTAGAGAAGTGCGTGCGGAAATAGCTTCAGGAGTAAGGATAAACCTCAGGTACGCAACATGACCCTCCTTGCACGCGGGTCATGCATTGCTGCACCTGTACCTGTGTACACAGTCTAGCATTTACAAGAGTTGCAGCAAGTCATCAGGAAGTCAGTCAAAAGAAAGTACAGCAATAGAACTCTGATTCTGCGTCAGAAGCAAGGCTTGATGAAGTTCACACGTCTCGTTCCTCACCATGCTACGGTGACAGTGTTGTCAAGGATTGCAGCGACTGCGTTGCTGAAGTCGGTCCAAGATTCTTGTGTCAGCTTGCTCTGAGTCGCGATCAAACCACTGTACATGTTGGCTAGGTCATAGCGGGCAGCCAGGTCCGAGGAGAGAACCTGGAAAGTATCATGACTTAGATTGGCTGTAGGGCTTGGCACTAGCTACTCAAAAGTTGGCAACGCCCATGCAAATGAGACAGAAGTCAGTTACAAATTGCAGATTGTAAGAGTAAGTCCCGGAGTCCATTATGCTTCCACAATATCCCTCAGGATGTTTTCTAAAAGATGGCAAAGATGTGGGGGCACCTACCAACTTGAAGAGATTGGTTGTATTTCAAAAGTGGCGAAAATGTGCTAGGCAGCTGGACACCTGAAGCTGGTGCAGACGTCATTCAATCCCCTCGAAATACCGCAAATACTTTATCCAAAGAGCAAAGGACCGTTCAGCCAGGTCATGACAGACAGCCGGATCCAACAAGAAACCTTGGATGAGAATGCAAATGTGATGACACGGACGCCGGGCTTCCGCGATGTGCCCAAGATGGAAGGGGCAGTCAGCCCATCAAAGAATCTGGAACAGAACAGGGACGCCACTCAGCTCTTTGGAGACCTCTGAGGATAGAGTGTGCACACCAGATAGAGGTGGAACGGCGCCTCTTTCAACCATACTTGATCCTGAGATTGTCGCTGCAACTCTGGTCCTGCCCTTCTTTTACAGCAGTAATGTCTCTTCCATCGAACCTCTTGGAGACCCGAATTTTGCTTCTATCCATACCACTGAAACCTCTTGGGGCCCTCATACTCAGTTGTGAACATTTACCAAGAGATGAACTCTGGAACATGTTTATACTTAGGCAATGGCTCTTGTCGGGGTGAAAGGCAGTTCCAGCTCTGGTTGGCACCAGAGAAGTTACATCATTTCAGGATACAATAAAACAGCTGACTGGCTTTTGAAAAGGATGGTCCCTTTAGCTGGTGAACCAATTTAGCGAGGTGATGAAGCGCTTTGAAATTTGCGGGCATCTGACATTCAACCAAAGGTAACAGGCTAACCAAAGAAGCGGCACCATACATCACCCAACAAGAAAGATGGGTGTAGAAGCTGGAACACACCTTGTTTAGGCTTGCTCAAGCTAAACCGTTATTCTCCTTCCGTTCTGAAAATCCCATCTAATTCCTCTCGCGTTGAACAGGACTTGTCAGCAGAAGGCAACAAAAGGTATGCAGCAATAGATCTTGACACTTGCCAATCTACATTGTCCAACAGAGGTGAGGCAGGTGCAGAACAAACTGACTACCAGTACGTTCTGAAATGACTGAAGTGGAAAGCAAATGTACTGGTCAGCGAGAGCGTTGCAGCATTCATTGTGGACCAGAGCCCAAGCGGGACGACGTTTGCTCATGAACACATCATCTTTGTTGCGAAAACACCATTGTGGACTGGACATAAAGTCCTGCTATCGTCTCATTCCTTACCTGTGCTCGATTGATGCATCTCAAGTTAAATCCACTGTCCTCCACATGGATTGCCTGGTTGTACAACGTAGAAAAGACTGCGGTTGCTATAGCACAACCCGCTAATGTCCAGACGGCTAACACTAGGTACTCTATGCTCCTCCGCTTGGCCAGCCATTTCATGGCGCTGATCACCATGCTCGGCATAGTTGCCTTATTGCCAATGCTCAAAACCCTGTACCTCTTGGCTTGTCAAACAAAAACAAATCGCTGCTTTCTTAGCACTAAGTTGAAGTTGATTGAGCAAGTTTTGGCATGCTGACGTACTCATCCGCTTCCCCTCTGAACTAATCAGGTTTCAAGCTCAAACAAGCACCCCGTTCCTTCAGAATCGAATCGAGGGCAACGTTGCCAAGGCATCTCGAAGCAGGGTTTGCAACATCATGCAACAGCTTCCCAAGCCCCAGTCGGTAGCGTGCAGCTAAAACAGCTGCCTTCTATAATCATAGTAGTAGCGTAGCCTTATGCGCGATAGCATGTTTGTAAGAATCAAGGTTCGCCATGCTATCGCGCTGGCGAACATCCAAGATTTGCTTGCTCGGAATCCTGACCACAATCTGAACTCCTGGCCACATTCCAATCTAAACTCCTGGCCAGCATTGGATTCCCTTGGCCTAGTAGCGCTCGCCGCTACCAGTCGTTCTGGGATATGAGGATCTGGAGGATCTAGGCAATCTCTCTGGCCCGGGCCTCCCGGGGGTGCAGCACGCCGGGCCTCAACTCCAATCTGATGGAGTGCCAGT